AGAATAACCGATCCTTGAAAGATTCTGCTGATCCCAGGCACATTGCTTTAGCCCAGAGAAAAGAGCCACCACAACCAACCATCCATCCCACCGTCTCTGACTAGCCCTTCAGTGCTGTTCACCCTTCCAGACATACATCCCACCAGAACACTTCCCACGTAGAGCAAACTGCTCCCCGTGCCCAACTGCACCCACGCACACTTCAGGCCTGGGTTTGCCATATTTCCTCACCTGGCAAAAGTGCTCATCTCTGTGCCAGCTTGGACACTGCCTCACACACGACACACCCTCATTCCCCACACACTGATCTCCTCCATCCACTGAGCTGCCAGGAGACCAGCTTGGATGTTTTGCAATGACATCTTTGATGTCTTGTTGTCTCTCATGCTATGTTTCACGGTGTGCAAGGCTGTCTCCCAGCAGATCACAGCTTGGGGGGGCAGTCACTCTCTAGCCCACCTCTATTTCCAATAGCAACCTTTACAGTGCCTGGCCTAGAGCAGCATTCAAATATTTGCATTATTCAACAAAGACTTCTAAAGTGCTAACACAGTTTAACAACAGAGGCTTTAAAAAAAAAAATCCTTGTCATTTGAAAACGTTAGCATATCAAAGCCAAGAAGCCCACTCATTTTTACTATTCAGATAAGAAATAAAAAGTAGGTGAAGATTAACTTCAGTAAATAATTCAACATTTTACCTCCCCCATACTGATCTAGTTTAATAATTCACTTAATTTGCATTTTGCTTAGGGGAAACGTATACTAGGCATCTTCAAAAAGTTCACAGAAAGATTTGTATTTATCTTCCAATTCTATTTTTCCATCAACTTTTTGAAGTACCCTAATATTTCAAATTTATACATAACAGTAAACAATCATAAAGTTTTTAACAAAAAGGATTTCATAAATGTTAATGCCAAGCAGAAAAAGTAAAGCAAAATTTAAGAAATGTCATTTAGGGCCGGCCCATGGCTCACTCGGGAGAGTGTGGTGCTGATAACACCAAGGCCCCGGGNGGGTTGCGATCCGTTGCCGGACACGAAAAAAGACAAAAAGGAAAAAAAAAAAAAAGATGTTGATTGATTAAGTCATAAATTGTAGAGAACTTTTGGAAAAATTCTATTAGCTTTTTTAAAAATTGGTTATGAATATTCATGAGATACAGAGCTGATCATCACCCCCTCAGGCCCACGATGTGAAGACCAGACTCATACTGGCAGCATACCCATTACCACAAATTGCATTTGTACCCCGTGTCCCCCACCCAATTACTCCCAACCTCCCTCCACCTCCCTTTCTCCCCACCACAACACTTTGTATCCCAAGGTACGTTCTCTCCCTCTGCAAGTCCAACGCACCACTGTGGTCTTTCTTTCCTTCCTTCTTTCTCTCTTAGCTCCCACTTATGAGTGAGGACACCAGTATTTATCCTTAGCCTGAATGCACACATTACTATCATTAATTCTTGTATTAAGCAAATGCTGGTTGAGCACATGCTATGTGCCAGGCACAGAGCTAGGCCCTTAGAAAACAAAGACAAGTTGAACGTGTCTCCTCCAGACATGTCCATCCTCCAAATCAATACAGCCTAGTGGAGAAGATAAGGAAGCAGCTGTTCTGTACCACGCGATGAACTCTGGATCCTCGGGTAGTGCGAGAGACCCACCCCACGCAGGCAGGAGAGGGAGGAAGAGCCGGCGAAGGGGGTAGGGAGGCAGAACTACACTTGACCACAAGTAATACTAGAGGTCTGATTAGCTGCAATCCAGTCCCTCCACTCTCTGCAACCATGCCACCAAACAGATAAATGGCACTCAAGTGGCAAGAACCTCCACCATGGAAGAAAGAATCTATCTCAGTCTCTATCTTATACTTCCTCGGGCAGGAAAAGAGAAGCAAAAGATTCTTTTCCAAGAAAGAAGGTTTTAAAAAAAATGGCTGAGTTAAGAGAAAAAATCAAATGAGAAAGAATAACCGATCCTTGAAAGATTCTGCTGATCCCAGGCACATTGCTTTAGCCCAGAGAAA